GGCTGAAGGAAGCCTAAAGGTAGGAGGGCGTTTTCAATTGCCGGAATGAACGGCGAGGTCTGCAGCCTTGCTAATGCTTTGTCCGTCGATTCGTAGGCAGGGCGTGGTAATGGCATTCCAACCTCGACGCTTCCATGCGATCGAGGAGCCAATCGTTGAAGGGCAGAAACTCTGCGAGGGTTGCGCGCCCTGGTGTCCTCCTTCCATCGTGCCTTTTCTTCCAGCATGATCCGTAGATCGGATGATCTGGGCAACTCCGTCTGTTTGGATGATGTTTGGTGCGAGTGCGAGGGTCGGTAGGTACTTCCCTCTGTGTAAGACCTCAATGATCTCGTTCTCTCAGACCTGGAGTAACGAGTTCTGGAGGTTCTAGACTGAGTATCACCTGTCCTGAGGCTTCTGCTCTCTGCTTATGATGGTGTGGATTGCCTTCCATGGTCTTCTGAGCGGCGAGGGGGCGTCTTGTTTTTGCACCCCTCTTCTGTCGTCACTCCTTTTCCCTTCATCTGGCGCTTCAAGGTCTCCATGTCTGCCGCTATCTTCCTTATTAATTCGTCTTGCTCCTTCACGCGGTCCTCCAGAACTTGAGGATCAATCCTCCGCCTTTGTCTGTCAGGACTTTGTAAATGAGAGTGACGGGGGCTGTTAGTCCGCCTCCCCCTAGTATCCCTCCTGGAGTTATGTTGTTGGGGCTCCAAATCCGCCATGGGAGGGATAGAAGGTAATCCTTCACGCCTTGCACCCCCATCTGGTGTTTTCCCGTCGATGGCGGACTGTGGTAATTCTTCAATGTGCGCCATTATTCCTAAAGAGGTAAAGCTTGATCAAGAGGTTTTGTCCTGTCTGTTCTTCCCACAGACGGCGCCAATTGTACGGGAAAGAAATAAACCTTCTCGTATAATCCTATTGATCAAGTCTGCGCTCCTTTGTACGTCGTCGCTTTATCACTTGAAAACACAAACGTGAGCTAGCTGGCAAGTGTGTGCCGGAAACCTCTCCGATGCCTAAGTCAGTAAGCTTGACCAATAGACAAAAGTTCTGTGTATTCAGAAAGCAAAGTTGTGTTACCTCTCCAAAGGTGATGTTTGTGAGCTTTTATAGGTTTCGTGTGGCACAATCCTAGTAGGACTTTTACTTCTCCATGCAGAGTCCTCCTAGGATTCATACTCCTGAAGGACAATGCTTATCCTTCAACACCCCCCTCACTGCTTAAACCAAGTGAGATGGTTTTTATCATGGCCGAACTCTAATATAACCGAAGTAATTATGATCACGCCAAGCCACAGAGTAGACCGAACCGTCTTTGGTTCAGTTCTCCTTTTTACTACTCCTTATCTCGGTTCCTCATGTACAAAGAATGGCGTGGTTAGACCAAGCTACCAAGTAGCAAGGCTCTAACCGGTCTAACCACAATACGTCATAGCCGGGCTAACTCTGAGATCGATCTAACTTCAAAGCGTCTTCTAAACGGCCTAACTCCAGGTCGTTTCTGGACCAGAGTAACATTACATTTCTCTCGGGCCGGAGTAACTTTGTTCCTCTCTCGAGCCGGAGTAACTTTACGGCCTTTTTACTCAGCCCTTCGTATTTTGGGCCATAATGACCCATTTCCCAGCTTGGCCTAATTTTCACATAAATTACCCTCTCAGGATATATAATGACAGCTTAGAAATCATGCTCTGTATATTAATTATTTAGTGATAAATTGAATCTGTTTCACTTAATTCTTAAAAATTTTAAATGCTATATTTAGATTTAGAATTTTAAAAGAGATTTGTGGAGGAAAAAGAAAGGTCACAGAAAAGTAAATGAAATTAAAATTATTAGTCACCCAAAAAAATAAAAGTTATTATTATTATTTTCACTTTTTCCTTGCCTTTTTTTCTTTTCATACACAAATTTTCTCTCAAATCATTAATCCAAACACAATCTAATTTTGGTATTATGGTTTGGGGTTAAATTAGCCAAAAAAGACAAAATATGCTAAAAAAATTAATAAAACAAAATATTATATTCAAATCATAATCATCTCACTTTTAATCTCACAAAAGTTAAAAAATAAAAAAACCAATCCAAACAAAATTTTTAACCTGAGTTAAAATAGTTAGAAAGTCAACTAAAAAAGTTAATTGTCAAACGGCATTTTGTCTAGGCTATTAACATATCAATTATGGTAGAATCTAGGTTATCTATTTTTTTGGTTAATGAATAAACTCTCTAAATTTGTCCTCCCCCGACTTCAAAATCAACTACTTAATGTCGATTTATCTAGAGTAAGATGCGAGTCAAACTTTAATTGTGTACACTGATTTCACAACGCATACACCATTTAAGTCACGCGGCGCAACTACCACAGGTTACGTATTATTAGGATAGAATTATTTTATCAAATTGAGCAAACAAATCCTACGAGTAGGGTCTAAGGGTCATAATCTCATAAGTAACATCAAATTTGAATTTAAAAAAAAAAAAATCACACAATGATACTTCTAAAAAATTATTACAATTTTAGGGTAAAAATTATTATTTTAATAACTAATGTTTATAAAATTTATTATTTATCTGCATTTTTTAAAAAATTTAAACTAAGTTAAAAATTTTCCAACCAAGAAATTGATTAAAAACTTGATTTGATATGGGATGTTATAATGACTTCTTATTATCAAATTTAACTGGCAGTTTGGTGAAAAGTTAAATGTTATAATCCTCCCTTAAAAACTTCATTAAATCCCTTCTAAAAGTTTTAAATTTATCTCCGAAAGCATTTTTCATCCAATCAGATGAAAAACTTTTTTTTGTCTTGATTTGATGAAAATTTTGATAAAAACTTAATTTGATTTAAATTTAAGTGTTAAATTAGACAAGTGGTCCCCAAATTTTTTCACTTTCTCACTTTCTCTCTCCTTCTCATTTTTTTAGGATAAATTAGAAAACACACCTCTTGAGGTTTACTTAAGTTACAAATTATCCCATGTAGTTCTAGAAATTACATTATGTCCCCTAAGGTTTCTAATTTCATAACAAATAGGTCCTTTTATTAATAAATTATATTGTTAATTAACAGTTTTTAATAAAGTTAAAATTGTATTTCAATTAATAATTCAGATAATTTTATTATTGTATAGGTGAACAGTTAGAAATTTCACTTTTTCAATTAATTCTGTTAAATAAAAAATTATAACAGGGAGGTATTTGTAATTTTTCAAATCACATGGAGTAATTCGTATTTTAAGCAAACCTCAGGGAGTGTATTTGTAATTTATCCTTCATTTATTACTCAAGTTTTCACTTACTACTGTATTAAACTTTACAGAAGTGATTGCGACCCCCTCAATCATCAACCCCCACCACCCCCTCAACACACGTGGGGGTTGGTGATTGGAGGAGAAGGAAATAATAATAATAATAATCATCTAGCCAATCACAGGCCAGAGGTGGTCGTGGGGGTCACCCCTGGAGGTGGTCTGAATCATTTTTCTAAACTTTATACTTATTACCCAAATAAATTCTACTTATTACTTGATTAGACTTGACTTAATTACTACTTACTATTTAATGAATTTTCACTTACTCACTACAAAGAAATTGCACTTTTGGCGACTACTTTTGGCGACGATGTCAATTTTTCATCGCCAAAAGTATATTTTTGGCGACACAGTGATCAATTTCGTTGGTAAAAGTATACCTTTACCGGCGCAATTTGTTGTCGTCACTAAAAAGACATATAATTATTTTGGCGCCAAAATTTTTGGTTGGGGCCAAAATTTCAAAACTTTTACCTACGAGGCTTATGTTTTAGCAACATAATGAGCGTTGCTATTAGTGTGCTTACTTTTGGCGACGACAAGTTGGCGTGGGCAAAGAGTTAACCATTTAGCGACGATGACACTATTCGTCGGTAAAAGTATTGCTAGTGGAATGATGTGATTTAGTGATTTGTGTTTTTTATTATAATTTTTGAAAGAGTTTTAAATATTTTAGTTACTGAATTGTAAAATTAAAATGATCATTGAATTAGATCACAAAATGAATCCATTGAGCCCAAACACACTCTTAAGTTGAGATGACTAATTTGAGGTAATTTAAACTTTTTCAAAGAATATGGTTAGATTATCAATTTCAATATGTTTGTTTTTATTTTCAGAAACTAGTTTCAAATGTTTTTTCCCTAAAAAACTAAAAAAAAAATTTGGGTGAAAAAAAAAACTTATTATTTTTGTATATTTTTATCTTTTAGGTCATAAATACTTTTTAAATTTTTAAAAATATAATTTTTGATTTTTATTGATTTCAAATTATTTTTAATTTTTTCAAAAAAAAAAATCTAATTTTTTTTTGAATTTTTTTTAATCTTTTAGATCATAAATATTTTTTAAAATTTTAAAAATATAATTTTAATTTTTATTGCTCAAAGATTATTTTAATTTTTTTTTAAAAAAACAAATCTAAAAATTGTTTTGAATACCTCATTTTATTTTATTTTATTTATTTTTTTGGGGGTAATCTACTGATCGGCGGTCTCCCTCTTAAAATTCCCTCTCTTTTTTTTCCCTCATCAAATCTCCCCAAGTCAATCTCTCAATGTATGTGTTTCTCTCTGTCTAAACGCGGAGTGACCAGGAAAATGATTTGAAAGCCCCTAGTACAACCACAACACAAAAGAGACACCTTTGAAAGACAGAGAGAGAAAGAGCCTTTGCATTTCAAAAATCAAATCCTATACACTCAAAATACACACATACATACTCTCATTTCTCTCGATTTCAGTTCAGTTTTATCCAATTTCGCCAAGATCACAGTCCTAGGGTTCGGATTCATCCTCACTCTCTCTCTACTTCCCCAGATCCTTCTATATCCTCTCACTTCAATGGCCTTCTTTTGATCTTCGTATGCTTAAATAGGTAACTATACGTACTTACTTACACACTCTCTCTCTGTATATATATATATATATATATATATATTTGCATATGTGTTTTCAAAGAGATTTGTGTGAAGCGATGGGTTCAATCTGGGTATCTTTTGTTTCAATGCGTGGATCTTCATTATGGGTGAATCTTAGAATCGAGCTATGGATCTTTTGCATCATGGGTTTGAAGCCTTCATTTGCAACTTTTTGCTGTGTTCGCTTAAGTTTGTAGAATTGGTGTTACAAGATTGACTTGCAAATAATTACGAATAGATTTGGGAACGGGATTAGTGACTCAAAATTGATGATGATAGCCTACACATCAGATTAAAAGTAGTTATAAACACCAATGTTTGGTTCTCCATGAAAATTTATTGAATATAACACATAAAAAATAGTGTGGTGAAACCCTTAGGTTTTGTTTGGATCTTGGATTTGTTGAAGGATTTGTTGAGAGAAAGGGAAAGGGAAGGAGGGTTTTTTTTTTTTCACTTTTCACTTCCTTTTTCTCCACAAATCCAAGATCCAACAACATTAAGGTTGCCACTCTCCATTTAAAATCAGTCTTCATATCTTGAAATTTAGGAGTAAAAAAATTTATGAGAGCCACGTTCAAGTCTTATTTACGCTTGGCCATGTTGCTTACTACCAAAATTAAGGTCCTGCAATCGTCAAGTCGTTTTAGAACTCTGTTTATGTCATTTTGAGACAAGTTTTCAAATTATTTTTTCATCTGAAGGTTTGGCAATCAAGCAAGAAGAAATTCATTGCCTTCAAGCTCATGATGTGAAAGAAGCAGTTCACGAGTTGACAGCAAATTCCAACGTTGCATGCTTTTCCTCCCAAGGAACAGGAGTTAAGGCACGCTTTCTTAGATTGTTCCAACAAATTAACATTTGTGATTCATAGAAGATAATGATTTGTTGAACAATGTGTTGTGCAGATTTATAATTGGTCTGGGGTTATAAAGCATATTAACTTCAACAAAACCGTCAAGTCCCTTGCAATGTTTGGAAGTAAGCTGTACTGTGGTTGCACTGGTTACAGTATCCTGGTAAACATTCTCTAACATCGATTGGATTCAGTCTATTTGGCCTTGCAATTAAGGTTATGTTTGGATCTTAGATTTGTCGAGGGAAATACATTACTCATAAATATTTATTTTTATGGGTAATTTATAAAAAAAAATTATATTTTATTAATAAGTATGCATTTTCTTCTCATTTTCCAAGCCCAACAAAAAAAGAGAGAAAAAAAATCTTCTTTTACTTCATTTTCCTTTCCCATCTTTTTCCATTTCCTTTTTATTTTCTATCTACAAATCCAAGACCCAAACGTAGCATAAAGGTTGCCCTAGGTTACCCCTCTGCCTGTACTTATGAACTTCCAATAATTTTGCAATTGATACTCTCTAGTACTTACTAAAGAAAGCTTAAGAACATTCTTATTTGTCCTGAAAATTTAGAGAAAAAATGGCAGGAGGTGGATTTGCACAAATACACAGCTGCTACATTCTATTCTGGTGTGAGAAAAATCTTAGGGAAACAAACTATACATTCTTTATGTATTCACAATTTGCATATGAACGATGACGTGATATCATTGTTGCATTGAAGTTTTACTCAGTAGCCACATCATTCTTTATATGGACAAAAAAGCTACAGAGCCATAATAAGTAGTACTCAGTAGCCACATCATTCTTTATATGGACAAAAAAGCTACAGAGCCATAATAAGTAGTCCGAAAAATGGCTAGTGTGTGGATCAGCTTCACTTTAGATGTGACTCACATCACGTTAAATTTGAATCTTCAATACTCACTTCTATTTTTGTGAATTCTGTATGGCATCGCATTGCATTGCATATTGGAACTTAGTGAAAGATGCTAATATCCTCTTTATTACTGCTTGCAGGCATGGGGTTTGGACTAAGATTTGGAACATAAAGATGAGTATTATCTACTGTTTTACTGTACAATAAACGTTGTGTATTGTTATTATTATTATTATTATTTTTGGGGTTGACGTCGCGCTAGTCGGAGAATTTGTTGATGCAGAGGAAGATGACAGTGAGTGATACCTCAGGGTTACTAATCTCTTTACTGTCATTGGGAATTTAATTGTCTGCAACTTCTGCTGAAAGCAGAGGCTGTGGATATTTCTTACATAATTAGAGAGAAGTTGCAAGAAAATAAACTGATTTGATATGGATTTCATTTTCTTTTCTGTTCTTAGATTTTTTATTTATTTTATTTAAGTTTTTTGGTTGAGAACACTCAATTTTTAGAGAAACACTTCTAGGTTGTAACCCAACTAATCTGCTCCTCCAAGGAATAGATGGTTCCATGACTCCTCTCATAAGATGACTACCCTAGGAACCAAGCGAGCTGGACTCAGTCCAATCAACTATCACCTTGAGATCACCATCAACCCAGCAAAGTGAAAGGGCTTACCAACTTGTATTTCCAATACCCATGACTTATGCCATGAAATATCATTTGAAATCGAAGTTCCAATTATCTTTTAGTACTTAAAAAATTGGTATCTAATGTTTTTTTAATTCCATGAAGCTGTTTGGCAAGGTCTTTGCTTGTTCCCTAGATAGGTTTTTATTGCTGAAGTACTTGTTGGACTAGAAACGAAATTTAGGTAAAAACTAGGGTAGCTTCATCATGTGATAGTGACAAGATGATTTTTTAGAGTGGACGCTCGATTGCCCTTGTTTGTGCTCGTTCATGGGAGAATGAGAAGTGGCTACGAAATTCTGAAGTACTACAAACAGTCACGCCTCCTCTAGTTAGGACCAGTGATTTGCATCAAGCTAAATAATTCTCTTTTACTTTTCCATATAAGACAGACATGGTTATGTTGTGCAGGAGAAGGGAATCGAAACACACCAGAGGGCCCTTCCAAATGGAAAGATCAAGCAAGTATTCTTCTTTGATCCAGATGGTGAGCTTTTATAACCCCCTTTTTCAAATAGCCTCATGAACACAATTATATGTGAATTAATATATTTTTAATATTATTGTATTTATTTTTCTTTTCAAGTTCAAGATTGCGCTCAGTCCGTTTATGTAATATAGTTGACTCGAGCTGAGCTGGAGCTCTAGTAATTTTCAGTGAGCTGAGTAGCTCGGCTTGGCTCATTTGTAGCCCTAAGTATTGAGAAAATGACTGAAGTATCTTGAAGTACAGCTCTCCTTGCTGAAATATTGACACTGTTATTTGCTTAAAAGTGTAATAGTTGCCATCAGCTGCAGGGCCACTAGCCACTTTTAATCAGCAAACAGAGTTCTTTGTTATGTTATTAGTTGACATTTTCCTTGCACATGCTTGATGGAGTTGCAATTAGTAAAATTTATCGAAATCATATTTTTTGACGTGCAGGGAATGGCTTGGAGGTTGCAAGCCGTGAAGATCCAGAACAATAAGCTGGGGTGTTCCATATGCAAGTGGACCTGATAGAATAAATCAATTGCGAACAACAAATGAATTTATGTTGGCATGTTACATAAGAGGTCAACAAAATCCAAAAGACCCTAAATTTGGATGAGTTATGCTGTAAATGAATGAATTTGTAATGGGTATTGTATATGACTTGCACTCCAATTGGTACTTTTACCTCCTCTTCTTGTTTGGGATAATTTTATCTGCATTATATTCTATGTTCTAGTACTACTTATCATTTAACCTTTTTGATCATTTGGGTTTTTGTCCATGATAATAATGATTTCAGATTTCTTTTTAGGACCCTTTTTTTTCCTTAATTTTCTAGACATGGAATTTTTGTTTTGTTATGAATTTTTAATCCTTTTAGGAATCTTATTATTCAAGTTGTCATTGTGACTGTTTATTTTAAAAAAAATTACCAAAAAGTAGTGAGTAGACAAACTAGTTACAATTTGATGGAAATTCAAATATAATTGTATTAGAGATGAAAACTTGTAATTTTATTCAAGTATAAATGTTAATCCTTTCCCATTTGCTGCTGCCCATTTGCCTTGATTTCCTGGATTTGCTAACTGCTGGATGTAGGAAAATAGGTCTTTAGTTGGTCCTTCTACTTATTTTTGGATGTCCTGTCTCGCTCGTTTTATCATTTTATTTTCCTCATGTTGGTTAGTATATATCAGTTAAAGTACAACAGTTTGACTACTTATTAACTAAGATTTAACAACTTTGAAGATGTATTTAATGAAAATAGATTCATTATCAAAATTCTTACTTAGCATGACTCTAGTTAAAATACACACTAACCAAAGTAGAGACAAAAATAAGTCAGATAATAGCCTGCTGTTAAGTGTGCTTGTATATGTGGATGTTGGTATCTGTATAGCCTAAGTCACAAGTATCTGTATGCTCTGCTGTTGGTATCTGTATGCTCTGCTGTTTGCTCTACTGTTGGTATCTGTATTCTCTGCTGTATGCTCTGCTGTTTGGTATCATTCTGCTTTGCTGGTTGTATCTGTATGCTGTGTGAGTGGACAGATCTACTAGGCTGCTGGTCTGGTTGTATCGTTCTTAATTTTTAGGTTTTTAAATAAACAATTTGACACCTATGTGCAATTTTTTAGAGACTAAAATAGTTTTGGATTTTTTCCTCTTTCACTTTTAAAGCTATTGTTTATTTTTGTGTATAAATTCAGCTTTTTTATAATTTGTTTTGTTTGTTTGTTTACTTTTGTGAGAACACTATTATGTATTTTTTTTCTTCATTAAAAAGTTTCATTGTGTGTGTGTTTTGAAAAATAATTAAATAAATTCAGTGTTCTTAATTTCGTGTGTATTTTTGGGGAAAAAAAAGGTAGTGTTTTTGTATTTTCATTAAATTAATTTTTAGGTTCTTAATTCATATTTTGCAAGCTTCTTTGAATAATTTGGCACTATTACACGCCACCGAATGATTTTAACCCAAAATTCTTTTAACTTATTATAAGCTACCAAATGATTTTGTTTCTTTTACCAGCACCGAATGATCATGCATATATATATATATATATATATCTATGTATCTACTAAACACTAAAAATTGAACATTTTAAACTGTTCTCAACCATGTATCTGAAAGAAAAAGGAAAAAAGAGCAAAAGCCTTGATTCTTACCTTCTCTCTCAAACTTTGAATAAATAAAGAGGATTCAAAGGAAAACTAATAGAAGATAGATATAGAAGATACCTTTGAGTTGAACATATAACGAATCAACGTGTTCGCAAAAAACAAATCAAATCAAGATTGGTTATCATCCCTAGTTTCTGAATCGTCGATTGCAAGAAAGAGTTGAATCAGTTTGCTGATCTGCTATACTAATCTGCTATTCTTCTGGTGCTGCTGCGATGTTGCTGCTGTTGCTGAGATGCTGTGGTGATGCTGCTGTGATGGTGATTGTTACGATGAGGTGCTGCGGTGTTGTTGATGTTTGGAAGGGTGTAGGACTTTTTGTCCAATCTGTAATAGATCAGGTTTTCATTAATGGGGGTTGTCATTAGGTGTAAGTTCGGGCAACTGCTGGTGTTTTGGCTGGAAGGGTATGGAGGGGGTATTTTGTGTGATTTCATATCCATGTTATTAGTTTGTTATAGTGGTGCCTGAGGGATGCCTCTTGTAAAGCTGTAAATCTTTTAAAAAATTATAAATGAGTTTCAATTATTTTTGCCGCTGCAAATTTGTCGTGGTTAAAAAGTGAAGCTAATGTGTTGCTAAAAGTTTATTTTTATCCACTCATATTCTGTTGCTATAAGTATATTTTTGCCAATGTCAATTTGTCGTTGCCAAAAGTAAAGCTTTAGCGACAAACAAATTGTCGGCAAATGGCAACATTTACCGACGTAAATGTGTCGCCGAAAGTTTACTTTTGCCGATGCATATGTTGTTGCTAAAAGTATATTTTTTGCCCATGCAAATTTGTGTCGCGAAAAGTGCCACACAATCATCATATTTGAATGACTTTTACCAACGCAAGGTAAATTACCGACGATGGATGGAGGCTTTTAGCGACGACTATGTTCGTCGCTAAAGGTATTATTTTTACCAACGCAATGATAATTTCGTCGGCAAAAACTTTTGCCAACTCACTTTTGCCTACGGGTTGCCAACGTAGCTTTGTGTGTTGGCAAAACTCTTTGCCAACGAATTTTTCCTTTTAGCAACATATTTTGTTGCGTTGCGAAAAATGCAATTTCTTGTAGTGACTACTCTATTAGATTTTAGTTATTACTCAATCAAGCTCTACTTACTACTTAAATAAACATGGCTTACTAATTAATAAGATATCACTCAATAGAATTAAGTTACTAATCAATGAAATTATACTTATTATTTCATTATGCAAATGAGTTGAGAGTTCTTCTATATTTTTCTAATTAACTATATTCTTATATAGCAATTAATGTTTTCAAGTGTACAAGGTAAAAGAAAGAAGTTATTGTACATATATTCATTTATTGCCATTAAAATATAGACAAATGAGAGTTCTTTTTAAACTGTTTTATTCTATTTTATTTTCAACTTATACTTTACAATATTTTAGATATTAAAAAATATTATGAAGGAAAAATATTTCATTATGGATATTAAATTGATAAAAAAAAATTATGAAATTATAAAAGTTTCTAGA